CCCGCGGGCAGGTGGCGAGCCCGGCAGATCGTCAAGAACATCCCGCCCTCGGACATGGCACAGATCAAAGCCAAGGTGGCGGCCATGGAGGCCCTGCATGGGCTGCGGCCAGACTGGGGCTGCCAGCGGAGCTGGGCGCGGGACTACTTGTCCTCGGTGAGCACCACACAGGGCCTCCACTAAGGCTCCAGGAGCGCGGGTTGGAGGGGAGACCACTGTGGGGACCCCAGTCGTGCGTCCTGGGGGCCGGGGCAGGTGGGCCAGGCCCAGTACTCTGCTTACTAGGGGAATTGCACAGCTTTCTTAAAGCCCCCTCAACCTCCCACCAGTTGCTAGGATCTCTTTGCTGTGCCCCCTGTGCTGGGGCACCCCCCTTGTGCCCCCTGCCTCTCCCTAGAGAAACAGGGCAGGGAGTCTCCTGGCAGCATTGCTGTGGATCCATGAGCAGAGCCTGTGTCCTGCCCAGAGCTAGCTGCATTTTGCCAGTAGCTGAGTGCACGAGTGTCCCTCTCAGGGCCCATTCCCCACCCCCGTCCCACCCAGCACAGCTCTCATGTGCCCCCTGCCAGCCCCTTTTCTTTACCCACCCCCACCAGCCTTGATGTGGGAGCCAGGCTCCCTCCCTTCCTCTCTAGGGCCTGGCGGGTGTGGGTCTTCCTCCTTTGGGGATTAGGTCCCCCCCACCCACAGGGTGCTTCTTCTCCGAGGGCTCGGTGCTGCCTGTATCCTGAGTCTCCTACACCCAGCACCGGTCTGGGGCCTCCACGCTACCTTGTGCATACATGCGTGGGGCCGGCTTTGCTGATACATGCCCAGGGGCTGCGTTGCCTGCCTGTGTCTGCGCGTGTTAGCGAGCTACCCGCCTGTGGGGACGTGTGTCTGGAGCTCACGTCTGTACGGCAGCCCAAGCCGTGTCAGTGTGCTGCACGGGGGGATCTCAGCAGGGGCTCCCCTCCAGTTCAGCACATGCCACAGGAATGCAGCCACCTCTGGGGTAAGGCAGGGCAATACTCACAGCAACACAGTGCAGCACATGACGGGGCCTGGAGTCGATGTGTGCACGAGGGAAGAAGCCAGGAGCATGGGAGGCTGGAAGAGCAGAGCCTGCTGGGACCCCACTGGGGGAAGGGTCCAGCAGCACTGCCCCCCTTTGAGGGTCTCACCCTGTGGTCTCCCATTCAAGTGCTGAATGAAGCTGGCCCTGCTTGGCTCCGGGGGCCACAGAGGCTGCTTCCCACCCAGCACTTCTGACACTCCCCCATTTGCAGGAGGTGGAGAACCCCACACTGGCCCTCCAGTTTGCCCGCAGGGTGCAAGCGCTGAAGGACAAGGTGCATTTCGGCTTTGTGCTCTTCTCCTGCCACGTCCGCAAGGTGAGAGGCCGGGCGGGAAGCCAGGACACGTGGCACAGGCACTGAGCGGGCAGCGCAGGGCAAGGCAAATGCTGGAGAGCTCTCCATGGCACGTGTGCCTGTGTATGCGGGTATGCACAAGTGTGTATGTGTGCATCCACACGTGTGCATGTGTATGTGTGAATCTTTGTACGTGTGCACATACGTGTGCATGCAATGTGTGTATATGTGTGAATGTGTTCTTGTGTGTACACTTGTGCATGTGCACGTGCCTCCCCACCCCTTCCCCCATGCCGCGTGCCCGCTGTCCATGGTGCTAACAGGTCAGTGCCACCCCGTTCCTGAGCCCCTTGTCCCTCCTGGCAGCTTGGGGTTGTGCTGAGCGTGATGCCTCTAGCCCTGGTGATACCCTGAGCAGGCCGGGGGGTTCCCCCTCCCCTGCCTTGCATGGGCTGGGGCTACGGGCGGGGAGCAGGGGGCCCCAATGTGCTCCCGAGGCCCCGGCTGGGATCCCCCCACCCCTTCTTCACCAGGTGTTGCCTACTCTGCAGATCAACCGCTGCAACAAGAGCCGGGACCGAGCCATCCTGATCACGGACCAGCACCTCTACAAGCTGGAGCCCCGCAAGCAGTACCGTGTCATGCGCAGCCTGCCCCTCAGCACGGTGAGTGCCCGGCGCACCGGGGCAGGGCCTGGGTGGGCAGCCGCCATGCACGTCTGCCCAGCCCATGGGGACCCCGCAGAGCTTCCCCCCTCAGCCTTCCTGGGAGGGCAGGAGAAGCTGGAGGGACCCTGCAGCAGAGGCAGAGTCAGGGAAGCATGGAGAAGATGGCTCCAGCAGGGCTCGAGGTCCTCTGCTACAGCCAGAGCTCCTGGTGGGCACCGGTCTTCCTCCCGCAGCATTGCAGGGGGCTGGTGGGAGAGTACTGGGTTTCTGGGGCCCTGGCAGGTGGGGGGCATGGACGCCTGCCTCGCAGCCACAAGGAGCCCAGAGCGTGGCGGGACTGGAGCTCCCACACGCTCCTCCCTGCAACATCTGCTGCCTCCGAGCCAGGGGGTGAATGCAAACCCTGCCGGCCCCACAGCTTGCCTGGGATGCCAAGGAAGCAGTGGGGGCACAGCCAGACCCTGTCGTGCACGCCAGCATGTTTGAACCCCGGGGGAGTGGGGAACATGCCAGGCCTGAAGCCATGAAGCTGAAGCTCTCTCCTGGAAGGGGACAGGCCTTGGGGCAGGGGCCCTGCAGAGGCAGCAGGGGCATGGGCAGGAACCTCTGGGGTGCGAGGGGCCTTGTCCTGGTGAATCAACCTCTGCTGGGCCCCAGCCCCATCCTGCTAATTGCTCCCAGCTGCGTGCAGCCTGGGGAGAGACGGGGAAGCTGCCTCCCTGCACCAGACAGACAGCTGGCAGCTGCCCTGGGCTCAGAGGGGATTCCCTCGCTCTGCCGGCTCCCGAGCTGTCAGGGGCAGGCCCTGGGCTGCGTGTCAAGCTGCCTTGCTGTGTCCGGAGGGCTGAGGACTCTTCCTTCGGCAGGGAGGCCGGGGCTCTGTGCCCTCATGGGGCTCCCAGAGCTGGGGATTTTGCTCCCCCTGACCTCTTCCTGGAGCAGGGGCAGTGGCAGGTGGCGCTCAGAGGCCTCTACCGCCTTGAGCCTCCATGACATCAGGCTTGGGGACCGCCCAGGGGGAGCCTCATTGCTGTGCACAAGGGACTCCAGGCACCTTGACTGTGCCGCCAGCTACCCACACCGGCTCCACCCACTTCTCCCAGCAGCCAATCAGAATGCAAGCTTGCCTTCCTACACTCGGCGGCAAACCAATAAGAATGAATCTGCTTTCTCATTGGCCAACACAGAGGCCAATTGCGTGCAAGGGGAGGGGTGCCCGACATTACCACCTAGTGGCCGCACGGGGACTTGCGCCTGCCACGTCTGGTGACCCGGTGTCCGAGATACTGAAGGCGGCGCGTGTGTCGGCAGGTGACGGGAGTGAGCGTGACCAACGGGCAGGACCAGCTGGTGGTCTTCCACACCTGCACCCACAACGACCTGGTGGTCTGCTTCCACAAGATGCAGCCGGCGGGGGACAACCGGGTCGGGGAGCTGGTGGGCGTGCTGGCCGACCACTGCAAAGCGTGAGTGACGGGGCTGGGGGGCAGTGTAAAGCGGCCAGCACCAGCTGGCACAATCCTGTGGGCATGAGCTCTGAGCTGGGGGTGTCACAGCATCGGTCTTCAGCATTACAACGCTGCAGCTCCCGGGATCCATTACCCCTGGAAATTGCCCCCAGCCCCGTCTCTCTGCCTGGAGGAAACTTCTGGACCTGGCCCGTCCTCCCCGGAGCCAGGGGTGGAGGGGGCGGTTTGTTCGGGCTCTGCCTCAGAGCTGGGTGCATTTCCATGGTGCTGCTCCCATGCTCGGCAGCTCCACTTGGGAGAAGGGGATGTGCAGGGCCCTGCTGGGCTGGGCTTGGTGTCGGCTGCTCCCTGCCTGGTGTGTGGGGGCTGAGCAGGGGGCGGGCAGCCTGTGGGCAGCAGGTGACAGCTAGGTCAGCCCCAGGATCGTGCTGGACAGGTGCGGGTGCTCCCGGGAGGGTCTAGGGACCAGCCGTGTTGGAGGGAGCTGCTTGGCTCAGGGCCGGCTCCAGCCGAGCTTGCTCCGGCTGGGGGCTCCACAGGCCTGTTGTAGTGGCTGGGCCCTGCCAGGTTTCATGCCAGACCCAGGCAGCCAGAGACAGCCCCTGCCCTGCGGGCACCAGCATCCTGGCCTGGGCAGCTCGACCCCACGCCCTTGAGGGCGCTGCACTCCTGCCGTGGCCCAGAGAGCGCTGGCTTCTAGCAGGGCTCTGGCAGGAGCATGGGCACCTGGCCCATCCTACACGCACACGCATGTACACATACACGTGCTCATAGGCAGTCACATGTAGACTCGTGTGCACATGCAAATGCAGGCCCAGCTCTGCACGCACTCACACACTTGCACACTGGCCTACATGCGCGCACACATGCACATGCAAGCACTCTTGCGCATGCACACTCATGCACACTCGCACATGGACACACACAAATGCACACTTGCACATGTTTTCACATACATGTGCACGCACACATGCACACTCGCACACACCCATGAGGCCCGTTGTCAGCCCCTGGCGAGCCCTGAGCTGCGACTGGATGTGAGAAGTCTCCTGTAGCCTCTGGGAGCTTTTGGGTGACCCCAGCCCCGTGTTCCCCCCCAGCTGCTGTCTCGGGGTGCCAGGCTGCTAGGAAGAGGGCAGGGTGGGCCAGGGGCTGAGGTCCGGATCTGGCCGGGCTGGGAAGTAGCGCTGGGTGGATGAGTCCATCCTGCCACTGGCCGTGGTGCTGGGGGGGGGTGGTGCAGGGCAGGAGCAGAGCTCTGGGGGACCCCCTCCTGGCCACCTGCCTCAGTTTCCCCACCCATAACATGGGCACACAATGGCACAACACTGCTGCCCTGCACTGAGCCAGTCCCAGAGTCCTCATCCCTTGCACTTCTCGTGGGTGGGGGGACAAGGCCGGGCCGCCCTCAGGGAGGTCTGGGCCTTTGCCAGACGCCACACATGGGGGCTGCCATGGCCCAGCCTGCAGCACCTGGGCAGGGGGCAAGGACCAGCTCCCAGGCTGGCATCACCCTCAGTCGGCAAGGAGGGTCTCCAGGCCCCTCTCCGGCAGGCCCCTGCCCCTTTAGACACTGCCGTCAGCTGTGCACACTCAGCCTGGGCTCCCTTTGTGGACCCTTGATAGGCCCCAGAGGGGGACGGGGTGGTCTGAGCCAGCAGCGCCCCCACATCTGGCTGGGATTCCTGAACCCCTCCTTGGCACAGCCCCCGGGGTTCCCTCCG